CATGTCGCTGTAATACTTGTCTGGCTGTGATGACATTCCAACGCCAGATTTAGATCAAACTAATGTGTCTGCTCATGTTAATTCCTGCACTCATGGATTTCATCCACCGCCGGCATTTTGCACTGTGTAGCTAATTTTTGGAGCAGACGAAAGTACAAAACAGCGTATTCCCGCTCGCGGGCCTACCGCTCGTTAGTTATTTTCTTTGTAGCTAGGTTTCTGCTTGACCCAACCGCTACTATCATACAGTTAACTAACAGATTTTATCCGTGAAGTTGTACTGCTGTTTTACCACAGTTGGATGTGCTTTACTCATTTTTTCAATTCGATGACGCGTGCGTTGCAGTCGAACATTCACTCTTCCTGGGTGCACAAAGACTCATTCTTGTCATGTTTTAACTTGTTAAAACCAACTATTCAGACAAACTAAATCCCAATAGTACACATTCAAAACTATGTTTGCACAAGAAATTCATAAATATGAGTCACCGCGCATATTGGTGGTCAATGCGTCTCCCGATCGCATGCAGCAAACTTGGACACAGTAAAAAGTGTGTATGAACCGTCGTCTTGCTGGATCCATTCCACGGAGATTAATCACAGACCATATTGAACAACTGACGTGAAACTGGTGCCGACTCGCTCATTCACCAGGAGCCAGTGCAGCGAATGGGATTAATAATCACGACCTCAATTGATTAAGTTAAAACAACCCCTGCTACCTGTAGCACGCGATCTTCGTTATCGAGACCGACCTTCTAGGTGGCCCATGGACTGTCACCAACTGTCTCTAAAAGAATAGGCTGTAACTGACGCCAAACCATAAGTGAGAATCGAAACGCATTGTTTGTTCACTTAAAAGATCTAGCTCAGGCTCAAGCACCAAAACTCGTTACTCCGTCTTAATTCGAACTGAGCCTCTGGGAGAGAGAGAGAGAGTGGGTGCCTGCTCCACCAGATTTGACATTAGCGCATGGTCCCATAAGACATGGCACTTGATCCATGCCTATCTGTCGTAAAAGCTCACTGCGTAACGCTGACCTGTCTTTGCTTACTGCCCGGTGTCGCATCCAACCCAGCCAAGGGAAAATCAGAGTAGACAATTTGGCTCACCAGAGAGGATTTATTAGAATCATTCAGGGCTATATTTATAGGTCAAGCATACGCCCTCGTACCGACATTTTGGCCGTAAACTTCCGCCACCGTGGTAGTTTGATACTGGAAAGTTATTCTCCCATGCCCCGGCTCGGTTATGTTGGCCAGACTCACACAACGCTCACACGTATGACAGGATAATTGGTTCGACCACCAAGGCGGGCATGACTTCACTGAGTTAACCGACTGGTTCGCGAGCCCTTTCCTTGTGCCTAGCAAGTGCATCCAGCAGTATTCGGTTTTGCCTCTCCAACACTATCTTTGGTGTTTCTAAAGAAATTTGCGATTGTAATCATTTCAGATGATAATCAGATATGACCACTAATCAACCGGCCATGAGGCAGCAACACAGATTGACTCCAACAGGTCCCAGATCAGTTCGTCTAGAATGTACCATCATCCATCATAGATAAGTATGACGATCTACCACTCACTGGCTCCTTTGGGCTTACAGGCTCGGATAGAACAGATCGTGAATTACTGGCCCCAGGGACGCGGCCTTGATGCGCTCTTACGATAAGACCCTGTATTGTTTAAATATCCTGAGGTGGCATCATAGTGCGATAACTAGTCAACCTCTTGCGAAGGGCGCCCATGGTACATGTTGTGGAGGGTATCGGTGTGGTTCTCCCATCCCTGCTTTGGACTCATTAGGTAGAGACAACCGAACTGTGAGTGTCACTCGGCGCATAGTGCTTGGCGGCAATCGCCATGATCACTATACCATTGAGCTCCGCGATGAGTGCTCCAAAACCCGAAAATCAAGGTACATGTGCTTTCAGTTATATGCGTGGTTGGTCACCGCATCAGTCAAATCAGCAAGGCATTACACCTAACCGCACGTGACCGGATGTTTGATAACAGTCAACCATGATCTCACGTCTCTTGCCCAGTGCTAGCGAGCTTGGACACAGTGGGCACATGGCACATCACCTATACGAGCGGATGGCTGAAACCTGGAACCTTAACTGCCGCTCACTCACAAGCACACGTGGTCATCGTGCACCCTGCGGTACGACGTGAGTTTGACCACGCTTGTCTCCTAACTGATGTAGGGCTAGCTTCAGCGTAGGTAAGCGTTCCTGACTTTTAGTGTCGAACGCGGCTAGACACCTACTAAAGCGCTACCGGTCTGCGGCACATACCACGATACTTAAGGTTGATCATTCTTCAGAAGCCATACTGATATATCATGTTTTATGCACTGCTGATTTGGAATTGACCACCCAACGAATAGTGCGTGCTTGTGCTCACAGTCCATGCAACTTGATTGCTAAAGGAACTATATTGACTCGCTGAAAAACGGAATTTCTTCGGAGAATTTGATTGTACTGTATTGTACTATTAGATGCTCAAAGTTGTAGTCACAACAGGCAACAAAACTTCTCTCTTGTGCAGGCGTTCGCGTCACTATCCGGCATCCCTCGAACGAAACGATAGGTCAAAAATGATCAAATTGGTGTCAACCACAGATTTCAAATGTCAGACCGTTGTCTGCAAGTTAAGCTCAGTTCTCTAGGTTCCAACTGCGCCCTCTCGTAGCATTAATCTCCACTACCTCGAAAACCCGCCTAACTTCGAGGTGCGTCGCTTGCCACTTGAAGTCGGAGTTCGCAAATCGGGCCAATAACCGGACGAGTTTGGCCTTCCTCTCCCCTCCTCCAGTTATCGTTGATGGTCACAGTGAATGTGTAGAATACCGTTTTTGAGTCACCTACAGTACGTCACAAAATCGGCTTACAAATCTGCTTCTTCTCGTATAAGACATCCCAGAGGTGATTGTGTTCCTGAGATAAATTCATTTGATTGCAACACAGAAGTTACATTTGTTGAACGTTCACTTTCAGTGTCAGGAGCACTATGAAGCGATGTCTTCCTGTGTCTCAGGGCTATACTAGAGCAAGAGCCAGTTTGATGACAACGGCCGGTGTCATTGCGTACTGCTTAATACTATTACATTTAATCCAAAGCCTTGAGCCAAGCAATCCGTCAACGTCTGGCACCTCATTTGAGAAAGGCTGACAGCTCTCGTACTTTCAGGAACATCGATTTGGGCATTGTGTACTACATTTTAAAGAGCATTTCGGTTTGCACGCTATATCCTATCGTTTGCTTAATAAGCTAAGCCCGCTTGGGATGTCGCTTCTTCCGATATGAGCTTGCTCTGTTGATTGGGAAGGAGCCAACTGGATCCGGTGACCTCTTATGCTCGTTGGAAGATGTGGTAATTCACTTGTGATTGATCTGGCTGCTTCGTTCAATTTAACTAGGTGGTCACCTTGCACCTTAACCTTCTGTGTTAGTTCGGTCATCCTTTTTCTGTCTGTTGATCACCTACGCTTACGTATTCTCCGTATCCACCCCCGCTTGCTTGAGCTGTGTCAATGCTTGAGTAATTTAACCGACGAGCTGTCGGGGGGGGGGAACACTTGTTCTTTTCCCAGAGCGGGGTCTTTGGTATCTATCGTCAGTTTTTAATTGCCTTATCCATTATGGTGACGAAGTCTGTAGCCTTCCAACCCTCGATCTTGTGCGTATTACTTTTTGACAATGTTATATTCATTTGCTCTTTTGCAATGCATTATGGACAAATAAACATACAAGTAACGTTTGTTTTCGGTTTTCACGAGCCCCGTCTGAATGGACATGGTTGATTCACTACAACACTTGCTGATGTATGCATGTGTCACAATTTTGTTGGCTGCACTTAGTATATCACAAATGGGCCCTTGTAAGCTAGTCCGATGATACCGATAAATAACAACAATAGTATGCACTTTTGTAAATTTGACAAATCCTTCGAATTCTATTTTAATCAAGCCTTTATCTGTTCTATCGAGCGTTGTTCAAGCAACTGGATAGTGTACATTTGAACTTGATTGAGTAAGATTGCAAGAAGTGTTTCAAAATTGAAGTGAATTTTCACCAGTCAGCTATGCTTGGTAGCGATATATGCGGATGTCAGATCCTAGTAACACGCTGATGGGCATTTGAGAGGAGCGTGTCGCATCGGTAATTACAGGGATATCATTTCCACTAGGTATTCAGGCGCAGTATCTTCCTCATCTTCGTAATCGGCTGCATCGTCGGCGATTGCGGAGGACAAATAGTTGAATTTCGGTCGATTTCACCCACGCAACCGAAGAAAAATCGTATGAGACGTTGCTGGACGTATCAATTGCTTGTGTGTTTGACCCATTTTTATACCACTGGTTTTTCCTCCTTACGACGGCGTCACTAGTTATCATGTTAACCAGATCAACCACGTTTAACGCTTAGCCCACGCTTGACCAACCGAATGTAACTGCGCTGAAGTAGAACATTTTGGATCAGCAGTTGTAATGGCCATCCCCATGATCTTGTCTCGACCCCTATCATTGGCTTCTTATTTAATTGCCATCTCATTGTCCTGTTTCCCTTTAAAACAGTGCTGCTTCTCTTCTGCTTTTTCCCTGTCGTTCAAATTGCGATAATTAAATCCTCGCTGATTTTTCTGGACTGAACAGCAGTACAGTGGCCCCTGTTTATTGCCGATCACGATTCTTCCTTAGTCCCAACTGTGTCTCTATTTTATGACAGCATGGTAACCATTAGTGCGCGGTGTTTGCACTGTGTATGCTGGACGTTTCTTTGTTTTGAGATCAAGTTCCGCCTCTATGCACCTACTTTGGAGTACCAATTCTACTTGTTCGGCACTGTGTCTGCTCAGAATTATTGAGTGCCCATCATGTACTCAGCGGTTAACTTTCGGCCACCACTTTTCGCTTCATCTGTATTTCCAATGAGTTCCGATCGGTATCACCCAAGTAACAGCTCCCTGATAGTCTCCTTTATCTGTTTCCTAGAGCCTTGGTGTACTGCTTTATGTCATGGTCTGTGGTACCCTTCCTTTCGATGCACAACCGTTGCCGGATCTGAAGAATCAGGTGTTGTCCGCCAATTTTCGCGTACCCTACTGGCTTTCAACCAGTGAGTGTTCATTGCATTATCCCAAGTCATCAAAACGCTTTATTTTATCGGTAACTGTGCATAAACCTGCTCCGCCACATTCCAACCTTGTGTGTACTTGACCTCCTTTCGTTTCGAAAAAAGTAATGCACCGCTCGTTCACGTTTCTGGCGGATTATTATGGAGCAACCTAAATAGTACTATAAATGGTTACCCTGACTTTCTTTGTAGGAATGTCCAATCTGTTAGTCGAGTATGAATACGTTTCCCATACGAATACTTTACAGGTTACACTCGTCTCCCGACTTTTGTGATCATTGTCCCAAACTATCACACCCTCCTTCTTACTTTCGCACTGACTACAAATTTAGCTGCTGCTTCATTCAGCAGCCTTTGCCATGAGCTTCGACTGCCGTAGGTCCCGAGGCCGCGGAATTTGGTCCTTACTACAGCGTTCCACTCCGAGGCATTTGAGGCGATGGATACGTGCATTAAAATCGAATTCGCATATTCCTCATGGTGTCAAAAAACCACACGTACAATGGGATTGATCATGCTACATGGGCCTACATTTCTCCCACATCCTTCGCACGAAGGTATGAGTCTCCGTGTCAGGACTCTTAGGGTACTGTAGCTCCGGTGTTCGGGACGCAGGGCGCACCAGAATGCAAAATTCTTTGCACTAAAGCCGCACTGAGACGTTACTGGCTGCAGTCGCTTACTGCCGCTGAAACAAGAAACAAAATTAGCATATTGTGGCTTTCACAAGGACATGGCCGGGTCACGCTTTGTAACTTATGGGCATTAAACTCTTTGTCTAACAATTGCATGCTTCTCACCATCATTTCTTTGAATTCACTGCTTGTACTTTGCGATCCTTTCCCCTCCGTATTTCACAGATCATGTTCACTGTACAACGTCACTTTTATAACAGAAATGACCTAGGATGTTATTAGTAGTACCAAGTGAGCTGATTACGAGTATGCGGACCAAATGTTTCTATCACGTCGGGTTTTTTAGTTTCAAATTTTCACTTCAGCTAAGCAGTGCGCTCCATGCATCGAATGCTTGCCTGTAATTGGTCCATTGGCTCCCTATAATCGTGGAATAGAAGTTCTCTTGGCCATGGGATACACCTGCTACTAAAAGTCGATTGAGAGCTGTTTCTTTACTTGCTCTCTTGATCATGGCTAAAAGACGCTGCTGTGTCAGTGACCGAAATCCTTTCTGTTATGTCTATGGACAGATTACTAAAAAGTCGCGGTGCAGATCCATTTCTTCTCTACCGAAGTCTGCCTACCACGCATATTTCGCGATAAACCTGGGAGATCAGAATCAGAAGTGGGCACCGCACATTGTTTGTGTCGTGCAATCTTCATCTGACTAAGTGACTCAACGGCAAAGGCAAGATGCCCTTTGCAATCTCCATTGTGTTGAGGGAGCCGAAGGATCACACGACAGGCTGCTACTTTTGCCTAACTAGTGTCATTGGAATCCCCAACCGAAACAAGGACCAAATTCATTACTCCGATCTTCCATCATGATTGCACTTTGCCCATTCCACTGCCTTCAGTGAACATGTCACTGATGATGAGCAGTGATTCCGCATCGTAAATTTCCTCCGATTCTGACATCTGAAAACTTGAAGCTGATGTTGTCAACCCATATTTTATTGAACGATCAGAGCTGAATGACTTGGCACATGACCTGTGCTTGCCTAAAGACAAGGCCGCGTTGTCAGCTGCTGGCCTCGGCTGCAGCAGTGGTACTTACTGGCTGCAAGCACTTCCTCATCATCATCATTATACACATCAGCTAGAGGTGGAAAACACCCCAGCTACTGTGCCGCAATACAGAAACGAACAGGAAAATAAATACAACAGTTGCATGCCAGCTGAGCTACCAGCAACGGATAGGCATCGTTCCGGTAAGCCACCAGCTGGCTACTAGCCATAAAGAAAAATTATTATGTTTTGCACTATGAAATGAGATCGTAGGTGGAGAGGGAGACTAAAACGGATGGGGAGGGTCAAAGAAACGCCACTGAGGTCGGCTGCTTGCCATGTCAGCAAGTGTATCTAGCCAAACGTGTTCACCGTCTTTTGGACCCCAACCAGGGACCCGTAACGCTCCAACCGAGGCCAGCTCCGAAGTGAGAGCCTTCTGCAAATACTTACTATATACAGAAAGCGAAGTGTTAAATTGTCCGGTTTCGATGAAGCGGGAGAGAAAAAAACCATTATTGGGTTTGCTTTCTACCAGCTACTGCTACTTTACTGCTATCAATCCCGCACTGAAGATACCACCTCGAGTACAAAAAAACTTTGTCACTGTTTCGACGTGGAAGGACTGATGAAGGGGCTTGACGGGAGGTATAATAGTGATGGATAACATTTGTTTATTTAAATCGTGTATTATGCCCGTTTAGACATAAGGAGACTTGCGTGGACCTATCTCTTTTCGATAATTTTCATCAGGCATTTAAATTTATGAACAAGATTAAGCAAACAGGGAAGCTAACTAGAACTCGAGTGATAGTGATTAAATGGCAATTTAACTAGGGTCAATGAAGCCAGTCGATAGTTAGGTCAACGAAGTCAGGTGGTAGAAGTTACGACACCACATCTCGCATTTACAAATAAACAAACAGCGAAAGCAAGAACCCAGAGGCTGATGAGAAACAAAACTCACAGTTTGGCCTTGGTTTCTGTCAGCCACTGACAGAATCTTTGTCACGGCCATGGCAAACTGAGAGCTTGTGTTAGCGTCCTTTGATTGCATAACTCAGGTTGTACTAGCCTAATCGCCATTGCTTCAGCAGTAGCCAGCAGGCGTTTCATGAGTCCTTTGGGAACACGTCTCGACACAGTGTAGACCACCTTGAATCCGTCTTCTGTCCGAATCTGATGCGTAGTAGTAATCAGATGCTCGAGGATAGCGCTGTGGACATTGGTAACCGTGCCATGTTTTAGAGAGGCAGGACAGTGTTCCGCTATCCTCTTAAACAGAGGCCTGGTCGTGTGCCCGAGGTACCTTTCACCACAGGTGCAGGTGAGTTGATACAACACAAGATTCGGAACGAGCAGGGATTCTGCCTTTGAGGTTTTTGGTGATGAGCGCAACTGTCTCGGCAAGAATGTGTACTCTAACAACCGGATATGTTTGGCTAATTGCGATTGACAGTCTTCTGTTCAGTAACTTGTAGGGTATATCCCCTTTGAAAGGAACCGAAAGGAAGACGTCCTTTTTCTTTACAGTTGGAATTGTTTTAGGGTGATCACAAAATGCAGAATGTCTTTTAATAAACGAAGCGAGATACCATTGGCTTGTAGTGTCGTGTGAATGAAATCCTTCTCAGCGTCTAACGTTTCTGGGCTGCAGATTCTTTCGGCGCGACAGTACAAACGGCGCACTAGATTTCGTTCGTTGTTCATTGGCATACAACTGAGAAAGTGCGTATACTTGCCAACCCATGTGGTCTTCCGAAAGACTGTTCTGTCAAGCGACCCATCAGCTCGCCGCCATGGTGACACATCCAAAAAACGGGATTTTCTCATATTTTTCTACCTCAGAAGTGCATTTTAGCGATGAATGCGCAGTGTTAAACTGGTCAAATATCTGCAGATTGTCAGTTTGGGAGTCGCACACCATGAATGTATCGTCCAAGTACCGCCAATAGTAATGAGGAGACGCGATAACGCTCCGGAGTGGGCCGCGCTCAATTTTCGCGAGAAAGCAATCAAACAAAAATTGTTAATTGGATATGCAGTGCAGGAGTAGCTCCTTCACTCCTTGGGTAGGTATACCAATGTCATTCTTGTTATCGTCTAGGCAATCGCAAATGAAGTTGTTAGTCTCCAGCAAAGGAACATTTGTAAAAGTGCCTCCACGTCAAATGAAGCATCACTTTGTTCTTCACATTCTGATTTTCGTTTTGTTGTACAAAATCAAACGTAGCACTTACAATGTGGACTGATATATTTTTGCGTAGTGATTCTAGTAATTCAACAAGCCACTTAGCAACTGAGTGCACAACTGAGCCAGACATGTTGATGATCGGACGCATTAGTAAGTTTGGGATTATGCACTTTTGGTAGTCCGTAGAGACGAGGTGGATGCGAGCCACACGGTGTTAGATGTTCGAGTAAACGGTCATCAATATAGTTTTGGCGCTTCAATTCCTTCAGTAATTTAGTGAGTTTAATTTCATCATTCGCGCTGCTATTCTTCGGTGTCGGGTCAAGCATGAATTTGGTCGCGTCCTGAAGTATGACGTTCATCTTTAGCATGTGTTCTGATTTGTTCATCAGTACCCAACCTAATCCTTTATCTGGCCGGGAAAGAATAACGTCAGGATTAGATTTTATTTCTTTTATGGCTTTCATTGGTGATCATTCTCGAGGGTTGTGGTTTTTGACCCAAATACTGCTGAGAAGGTGCACAAAAATGCTCTTGAAAGTGTCCCTGGCGAGGGGAGACGTAGGGGTTAACTCTGTCAGTTGTTGCATTAAACTTCGAATTGTGCTTGTACATGGATCTGCTCGTTTCTTGTTTTTTTTCTGACTCATCCAAGAGTAGTCTTAAGGTCATACTGCTCCACAATGGAAATGTGTACCCAACTGTACCTCTGTTGCATGCCAACAATATGAAGGAGACTTGCGAAATTGTGCAACAGATAGTCGCTGCGCTGAACTACGATAAGTATTGTTGGGCCACCTGTGCTGACTTCAAAGTCATTTGGTTCCTAATTGGTATGCAAATAGGCTTCACAAACTATTGATGTTTCTTGTTCTTGGGGGACAGTAGAGTAACACAACAGCACAACACAATCGAAAAGTGGCCAGAGAGGACGGAGTAAGTTACAGGGAAAACGAGTGTAAAGCTTACTTCTCTTGCGCGACCTGATCATATCTGTCTACCACCCCTGCATATCTAGTTTGGTTTGATTAAAATCTTCGTCAAAGCCCTCAAGCGGGATACTTTTGCGTTCAAGTACCTGCAACAAGTGTTTCCAAAGGTCA